AGAGAGAGAGAGAGAGAGAGAGAGAGAGAGAGAGAGAGAGAGAGAGAATATTTTCACATTTATGTGACGAATAAATAGGTATGATAGCTATCCATTTATTTCCAGAGTGATTATGACTCTGAACCTGTCACATGTCATCCTTTTCACCTAGATGTACTCTCTCATTTTCAACTTACTTATGATAGCATTCTTTCTCCTTAACCAAACACTACTTTCTGTATGGCAATATCACATTTTCTGTACATTAAAAAGTTATGAGCTATCTTGAATTTCTTCTTCTCATTCAGTTGCTACACCCTATGGTCAGCGATTCCAGGAAATATCAGCATTACCACTGTATTTAAGCCAAAATTTCTTTCAAATACCAGTGTTGTTTCAAGCTGCATGCCCTTGCTCTTGCTTTCTATCTGCCTAAAATGCATGAGTCTCTACTTATATATGTTGTAAGCCCTTTTTTCACTTAGAAATAACGAGTGTTCTGCTTTTCTTGCAGAGCTTTAGAAATACATATAATACCCCAGTAAATTCCAATACAAAAATAAAAATGAGCACACACACACACATGCACATACACACATATTTTTTAAAGCAGGAACCAACTATTAAGATTTCAAGACCATCTCAATTTCACAGATATAGATAGGTCCTAGCAACAACCAACATGTTGACATTTACATTTCTTTTGAATAAAAACAAAACTTTATTGGTCATACTAACATTGGAAGGAATTAATTCCAGGGGAAGAGAAGGCAGATAGTATGTGATATTCTGAATTACTATCAGGCACTACAAAATATTCTCAGAACTAGTGTACTGCTGTGACCTCCAAAGGGTAACAAGCTGGGCATTGACAAGATGAGCCTGGGAATGGAACACTCAGCACTTTAGGCTGGATGTGTGTCCTATCATTCAGAGCATAAGGGCCCAGAGAAAGGCAACTGCAGTGATCAAAGGACTGATAAGCGACCACATAACTACGAAAACATCAACCCCCTTACTAGATAAAAGCAAAGGCTAAGCAAAAGGCATTTAGCTCAAAGTCTACAAAAATCACATGTTGGATGAATGAAACATCATTTCCATAGATGTGATTCTTTAGAACACTTGATTCCAACATTTTCCTTGGTCAAATAAGTTTGGGAATATTGGAGATCATAAAAGCATATTAGTATAGTAAAAACTCCAACTAAGTTATACTGTACAGAGATTTTATACAGTTAACATTTCCCAAATTTAATTGACTAGAGAACATTTTTGGCATATTGTATTTGTTCACAAAGTACAAGATTCTCCAAACTAAGGAATATCTTAAAACCGCAGGATAAATTTAGTTACAAGGTACAATACAATACATGTAATATAAACCTATGAAATTTTACTTAAAAAAATACTACAAGTTTCAAATACAACTGCAACCCAAAATATGTTTGTATAACTTTACAGCTAAACATCCACTAAAAGAGATGACCTCCATAGAAGTTGCCTTGATTCCAAAAGTCATACTGACCTGGACACATTATTTTTATACATTTTGTAAATAAGTTCTAAAGGAATGACAGAATACAGAGAAGCTTTCTTTGGTTGTAATTTAAATAAAACCATCTTTTTTTCCTTTACAGAAAGAATGGTTTTGTATTTTTTTCTCAAGAATATGATTTGCTTTAATTTTGAGGTATTTGAGCTTTTAAATAGCATCAATAGGTTGAATATGCTAATTATTTGAAATCATTTAAGATCCTCATCCAATTATAATTTCAGTTGCCAAATAACATAGGCCCAGGTATCAGCTTGGCTGATGAAAGAATCCTGTTTGTACCATTTAGAAGCTTTGCAACCCTCAGACAACCTAATCTTTCTCTACCTCAGTTTCCCTGAGGTGTAAAATTATGAACATATTGACTGCAATGGTATTTATTAAACACTTCTCATATGTTTTAACATATGTTTAGGTGTCAGGTGGTGGTGGCACTCACCTTTAATCCCAGCACTCAGAGGCAGAGACAGGAGAACCTCTGAGTTCAAGGCCAGCTTGGTCCACAGAGAGTTCCAGGACAGCCAGGGCTACACAGAGAAACCTTGTCTTGAAAAACAAATAATAAAACAAACAGAAAATAGAAACAAAAACATGTGTAGGTACATTGACCCATTTGATCTTTATGGGCTGCTATGAGATGGGCATTTGTATTATACCCAATTAAAGGTAATGAAAGTAAGACACAGAGAAATTAGATAACCAGTTCACATAGCGAGAGATTGCAGAGCCTGATTCCAGTTGAGGCAGTTTATGCACACTATGTATGTAAATTCTTAGTAGTCTTTAGCATATAATAAGCTTGCTATGAATGTTAATCATTATTTCCATCTCTGGTCAAATGTTTGGAGCTGTAAAAGGTAGCATGAACACTCTGGAATAAAAGATTGACTAAAAACATCAAACAAAAGTATTTTCTTCTTGAAGGTGGCTAAACAAATAGATAAATTTAAAAAAATTCCTTACGCAAATGTAATAAAGTGAGCAGTACTTTCTGCCCCACCAAGGCAGGACATGTTAGCTTTGAACAATAACTGAAAATATATTACATATGACATAAAATTGAAACTTAAAGAGAAAATGCAGATAGGTCCAATATACCCCTGCAATTTCTCCAACATTTATCATTATAAAACTTAATCATGGAAAGATGTGGCATAAGCATAAGGTAAAAAGAGAGACTGTAGGCATAATATTGCACCATAGTGCCCTGAATTTGGGACAGTATTTGTGGGAAGACTTTGATTGGAACTGACTTGGGAGAGGAGAGCAAAGCATCAACACCTCTTCAAGTAGCAGCTTGAATGAGTTCCCTTTCCAGTACTGTCATATCTGTTTGGCTTCAGAACTACAAAAGGAATTTGAAAAAACAAATTCAAACAAAAACTTATGCACTATGGAGACTGTGTGTTATATATTTTGTTTTCATTTATAATCAATACTAAATCTCTCATGTATTTGGTAAAGTTGTAAATTGGAAGGAAGATTTGTACATTTATCCCTTAGTTCATTGACATATTTTAAAATAAAATTAGTTTTACATATAAGTTAATCATGTCTGACACCAGGAAAGAGATCAGAAAAAATTTGTAATTTCCTAGAACTAGTTTCTTGATGTGATATAATCAAACCTGAATAAAATGTGAAGTCCCTCTCTCAATCCTTCTTATACTGTATCAAACAAATACATATCTAAAAGCTTTTGTTAAAAAAACAGCAAGAAAACTGGAGTTGCTTTTTCAGACACAGTAAATCACTGTTTCTGTAAAAGGTTACTCACATGAATATGTTTCTTGGACTAATTACTCCTCTTCCAGAACAGTTAGGCTAAAACTTCCAGGTCCCCCACCCCGGGAGACTCAAGCAGGGGTTGCGATGTGAGCCCAGGGCGAACCAAGGGGCATCCAGGGCCGAGGTCACTAGAACCGAAGTTAGGTCAGGCCAGCAGCCAGAAGTGGTCCAGAGAGATTCAAGGGTTGTGACTTGGAAATAAAGCAAAATAAAATAGAACCTTAACTGTTTGGGGATCGACTTTCAAAAGAGGTGGTTGTTCCTGGCGAAGTCGCCTCAAAGAGCTGTCCCTGACGAGTGTAGGCCGCGCTGGGCTCTCCTCAGAGGGCGGGCAAAATGGGCGCCAGCACTATGGAGGCGTCTGCCCTTGCGCTCGGAGTTGCTCACAGCCCACGTACGCCCCGGCAGAAAAACACCGCCTCCCTGCCACCCAGCCGCCCAGCGGCCCAAACTACCGTACAGACTGCTTTTGCCCACCACCACCCAGTGTCCCACTGTTTCGCCATCCCAGACCGACCCGGGAGTCTCCCAGGTACTGCTAGCTGTGGCACCGCCTCCGCGCCCCAGGCTCCGCCCTCGTGAAACCCGCGCTGCTAGGCCAGGCCTGGGGCGGAGCGTCGGGCGCCAGGCTGGGAAGGCTGCGTAGGAGCACCCGGTTGGCCAGGCTGCTGTGAGCCCTAGGCGGATGTGAGTAGAACCGACAAAGATGGCGGTGCAGGTGGTGCAAGCTGTGCAAGCGGTTCATCTTGAGTCTGACGCTTTCCTAGTTTGTCTCAACCATGCTCTGAGCACTGAAAAGGAGGAGGTGATGGGTCTATGTATAGGGGAGGTGAGTAGGTCGGCCAACCTGGCTGAAATCCTGCTGATCAGTACCCAGTGGTCTCTGAAGCGGCTGGGAGGCCACAGGAACGCGGTCCTTTGCGTTTTCTAATGCTGTTGCGGGATCCTTTTTCTCTGACCCTCTGACCCGTGCTTATGTTCCTGCAAACCCTCAGCGGTCTTCATGAGCCCACGGGGGTGGGGGTTATCACACCAGTGACCAAAGCAGCAAATCGGGCCAGAAAAACATTCTGGTATAATGAAGATATCGAGGTATTAGGAAACAAGCAGCCCACGATTACAGTACCCTCTCATCCTACTACCAGTTTTCCTTATGGGAAGCAGAGGTATCACTACAGCATTTTAAAGTATGGCAAAGTACTCAGGTCAAAAGGGTTTCGTGGACTCCAAAGTCTCTGTTGTGGTTAAATGTTACAGAGCTGTGAAAGTAGTTGAGGAAATACAGTGTAGTTGTAAAGTGCTCAAGATTGAATTCTCCAGTCCTTCATGCTGTTGTGTGTGAACATATTACCTAATTTTCATGTAAAATTTCATCTCTATAACTAAATAACAATGTGCCAGTAATGTTTTCTGCTCTTTCCTACTCCAGTTGAATGATGACGTAAGGTAAGACTATATTTGTTTACTTACATCATATTATAACCTCTAAACAGATTCTTGATGGAGAACTGCAACAACTTTGGTAATCGTGTGTACACATTCTATCTTAACATGAACAGTACAGAACTCCCTCAACAATACAATCTGAGTTCCACCACAATCCTAAAGGTTCATTTTTAACCTTATATCATAGCATGACTTTTATTTGAGATATTTATGCTCCTATGTGGAAAATTCTGGCTGAAGGAACCAACATTGTAAGTGAACCTATTAAAAAAAAGTTCTTATAAATGGAATTTTGTTGGAGCTCCAGGAGCCCAATTGGTTATTGCATGAGAGATACATGGATAGAACTTTGTTGACTGACATAATATACTTGACTTTGGTTCTATTGCTTTCCATTTTCTTGCTTTGTGTTTTACATTCTCTGTTCTCTGAAATGTCAGAGAAATGCCAGTAACTTTCACTGTGGCACATAATGTCCACACATTGAGAGGCTTTTCCCTTGTGGATCCATTCCTCCATCTAAATCGTCAGTGAATTTTAGTCCTGTTGCACCTCAGCCCCTGTGAGCCTTAAAGGTTTCTAGTAACTTGAAAGCTTGAGAGATGGTAAAACCTTTGGGTCCCCTTTGTTTAAACTGCAAAGCATAAGTTATTGTTAATCAAGCCCACACCGTAATACCTGGAATCTACTCTGTTCCCCTTCCATCCTCTTTTGTTTCAGCTAAGGTTACATTGCAAAAACTGTTTATCTTATTTTTCCTTGACTCCTTTTTCTATTCCAAACCCCAGTTTCCCCCCTTTTCTAATCTATCTCCAATAGGAGTGACTCCAAATTTACATACACTGGAACTGAAATGCGCACAGTTGCAGAAAAGGTATGTATGATAAAATTTTGCATGATAGAAATTTGCAGTTGGGGAGGAATTTCTGCAGTCTGATGATTTCAGCCAGGACATTAATCCATTCTGAAATTGTGCAGCATGTTTTTTTTTCTACTAAAATCAGATGAAAAGTCTCACTAGAATGTGACCTAGTTTCTATTCTTTGTAGAAACTTTACTTGACCACCAGTAATAATCTGATCAGCATTACTCCGTTCCTGTTTTCTAGCCTTTTTCTCACTTTCCTTAAGACTTTGAGGTTCGATTCATATTCTTTTTACCTTTTCTCCTGAATGTACACTCCCACCCCACTTTTCCTGCCATTTTCTAATTGTATAAAACCAGCTAGGTCTTCCTTCAATGTATCAGAGCCTAATGATTCTGTAAACTACAATAAAAATAGTTTCTTATGCTTTCTCCAAGCTGTTAGGCCAAGCGTCTACTTATTATCTTTATATACAAACTTCTTCACCATAACCACTTAAACCGCCTTTCTTCCTGTGTTGAAGTTTTCTAAAGGAACAGAAGCAATAGAATTGGGATCTATTTCTTTCCCTCTCTATGATATTTGTTATGAAGGGCAGTTTATAGGATTTGTTACCCAACTGGGGACTGGTGGTCCAACATTGGCTTTCTGCTTGCTGGAGAGTGGAATAATTCAGTTCAGAGCAAAGAGGACAAATGATGCAGTCCCAATCCAGACCTGGAAGCTCCCTGAACTGTAGCTGCTGTGCATCTCCATTAGATGGCTGGAGGCTCTGGAGTCTTGTGGTCATGAGTGATGGCAACAGTGTTACATGCTCTAGCTCAGGAAGGATGGAGCTAGGCTGCCCTGTCAGGCTTTCTCTTCTTTAATTCTGCCTGGGCTCCCAGACTATTGCATGGAAATTCCACACCCAGGGAGAGACTTTCCTCTGTTACTCTCCTGGAAATCCGTCCTCTCTGACAATGATGCTGGAACAGACACACCAGAAGCTAACTTCCCTAATCCTATTCTAGACATCTGTCAATCCAGCCATGATGACAACCCAGATTAACCAAAACACTTCTCTTATTTAAAAAAATGTCATAGGGGCTGGAGAGATGGCTCTGTGGTTAAGATCACTAGCTGCTCTTCCAGAGGTCCTGATTTCAATTCCTATCACCCACATGATGGCTCACTACCATCACCTATGGGATCTGATGCCTTCTTCTGGTACACAAATGTGCATGGAGGAAAAAAACACCCATATACATAAAATACATAAATAACTCATTAAAAGTCACATTAGACTACAAATACTATACTTAAGTCACTGTCATTTTCAAAACAAAGAGAAAACTTACTTATTAATTCTATATATTCCTTTAGTCATTACTCTTTTGTAAAGTTTTTTCTTGATTTTAGCATGTCTGTATACCAATATTTATAGCTCTTATTAGCAGCATATAAAAATCTAATCTGATGATCTTTTTATTTGGAGTTTGCTATTTTTAGTAGTTATTAATATATATAAGTTACAGTTGCCATTCTTTTGTTTTCTGTTTAATCTACCTTTTTATTTTGAATTACTTTTTTTGCTCTTTTCTTGTCTTTTGTGCTAATCAAATAAATTTTATTATTCTATTTTGATCCTCCATTTATTATAATAGTCTTTTATGATTTTAGTGGTTATCCTACATATTACAATATGTATTCTTCATTACATATTATAGCTTAATACAGCTATTTTTACCATGTCTTCAATAATACAGCTTTGCTATATCTTAACAAATTCACTGTAAGTTGAAAATATCATTGACCCCAAGTGTACAATACACCTAAAGTACCAAGCATCTTAGCATACTGCAGTATCCATTGTTTATCTTCATGATTGTATGGCTTACTGAAAGCTGCAGCTCAGCTTTGCAAAAGTCGGTTATGTTACATGTTTATCAACAGTCCAGGAGAAGATTTAAATTTAAAGTACAATTTCTGCTGAATGTATACTATATCCCCATTAATGTAAAGTTGAAAAATCCTTTGTTGAATAATCATAAGTCGGGGAGTATTTGTACTAAAACTTTAAAACATTTTTTATTTTAATTCATATCCATCTGTCTTTCAGATTATTGTCATACATTTTAATTCTATATGTATGTTAAGCTTTATTTAACATGGCTATTACTTTTTGTACATTCTATATTCATTGTGTTTATACAAATATTTTTATGGCGCTTAATCATTTCTTCATTTTTTGGAATTACCTGTCTGAAGAACTGTAACATTTCTATCCTAATAATAAATTCCCTCCATTAGGCATCTGAAGACATCTTTATTTTGTCTGCAGTTTAAAGGATACATTCTTTGATTCTAGAATTCTTGGTTTGCATGTATTTTATTTTAGTTCTCTAAGATGTGATCTTTGGGTTTTCATAGATTCTATTGAAAATTCAATTATATGTTTTATTATTCTTTGAGAGTGGATACATCTGTCTTTGCTCCTAATTTTATTTTTTGTCTGTTCTATGCCGACCACACATTGTACTAGTTGCTGGTAAGAAAATCATGAATGAAATATGGTCCCTGCTTTTGAGAAGCTTGTATTCTAGTACAGGAGAAAAGTGTGAAAATAAATAGAGTACCGTGTGTGTTCTAGCAGAAATAAGTGCATATCTATTATGAAAGAATACATGTGAAGGGAAAATTATTAGATATTTATAGTATGGTCAGGAACTTAATATGAAAGAGCTTACCAAGTAAAAGTATTTACACAGAAGGGAGACTGTATGAAAAGATACTGACCCATAAAATGGGAGCACATGATTTATGGGAACTCTAAGTAACTGAATAAAGCAAAAGCATAACAGCCTTCTGAGATATTAGCTTTCGAGCTATCTGTGTTGTGTTTTCAACAAGTTATAAAGCCAGGTGGCTCACAACTGTAGTCTTATCTCTCAAGAGGTGAGGCAAAGAATCATTGCAAGTTTCAGGCTAACCTAAGCTACATAGTAAGTTGCAGGTCATCTTGGGCTATAGAGTGAGACCTTATCAAACAGCTACAACAAAAAGAACATGTTATTCCTTCAATAACATTTTATTTATTAAAAGAATAGTCAGTATTTGTTATGCAATTGATACCTTGTTTTGATATTTGTCTATTCAGTATAGTTATCCATACCAAAATGCTAACTTTTAGCTATATTCACATTTTCTTTAAATAAGTACAGCAAAAAGATGAAAATAATGTTAATATACGGGTATATCTTATTTAGTTCTAATTTTTAAAGTTGTCAATATTTAAGAAATATTGAGATATTTCACATTTTTCACCCTCCTCCTTTTTTGTATTAAGTCTTTTAATTACAGTGGGTATCATATTTATGGCTCATTTAAAATCAAACTTGACATTTTAAGAGCTGTGCCTAATGGATTTTATATTGTACAGTAGGGAAAGCATAGCTTATATCAAAAAATTTCCTCTTCTTTTTTGTCTTTCCACTTCTGTCATTGAAAGCCAACCACCCTACCCCAAATCAAACTTGAAACATTTCACTGCTCCTTATGTCTTCTTTGTCTATTTTCTACCTTTAACTCTAGACTGTTCTAAATGTGGACACCCCTCTTGATTTAGGCCCAGACTTCTGACCACAGTCTCCATACTTTTTTGTTATCTTGTGAAAATTTATTGTCTCTGTTTGAGCCTAAGCTTAAATACTACCAGAAGAATATGGCTGTGTTTAATTTCTTTCCAATTCATCTTGAAATCCACTAAATGATATTAGAAACTTTGTACGTGCTTTTATTCTGTATTTTCTTAGCCTTCCTATCTTCCATCACACCTTGAGCTCTGCAACTGCATCACTTAATCAATCTGTTTCCCAAGCATTTTACTCACACTTTATGTCTTCTGTAGCTCATATACCCACTTGGCAATTGCAGGAATTCTATATGTCCTCACACTAATATAAGTTATTCTTCTGATTTCCTCACATTGATTTTTCTCCATTATTTTAGTGTGATTCCATGTATAATACTTTTTTCTCAACCATATTATTACCATTTGAACACTTTTATATTCCTTCATATGATAATGCATTTTGTACACTTAGATGATTATTCAAAAAGCATATCCTTGATCTGAATATTCTGAAATATATGTCTCGATTGGGATATCATGCATTGATACAGGCAGGAATATCAGGAGTTCAAGTCCAGCTCCAGCCACACAGCATGTTGGAGGCCAAGCTGAACTATGTGAAACTCTGACTCAGAAATACTATATGTATATTTACACACACACACACACACATATATATATAAAACATTGCATCATTAATAACAAAAGCATCAGTTTTCAAAACTGAAATTCTTTAATTTCAGTTCGTAAATTCTGAAATGCTACTTTAATAAAATGTAATCCTATAATTACAGGAAATTGGAGAGAGAAGTATAATTGGCCAGAGAGAGAAATAACCTTTTCTTTGAATTTTTCTTTAGATGGATACCATCAGAATTGTTCACATCCATTCTGTCATTATCTTGCGACGTTCTGACAAGAGAAAGGACCGTGTAGAAATTTCTCCAGAGCAGCTGTCTGCAGCCTCAACAGAGGCAGAAATATCCTTACTAATACATTAGATGCTTTGTGTTTTGTGGGGCTTCTGGGCCACACAGATGCGATGACTATAGTCATCTTACTTTAGGTGGCTTCATAAGTTTTCTCCTTGGTGAATGTTCCATGGTTTTCATATTGACCCTTTAGATATAATTATTTGATTAGTCATTCTTACCCCCTTTCTCTCTGTCTGTCTTTCTCTCTCTCTCTCTCTGTCTGTCTCCATTTCTGTCTCTGTCTCGCGTGTGTGTGTGTGTGTGTGTGTGTGTGTTTGTGTGTGTGTGTGTGTGTATTTGGGTACTGTTTCTTTTAAACACTTTTTACCTTTAACAATTTTTACTTTGCCAAGTAGGAAGTTTCCATATGATATTTTCCTACATGCTTACATTCAGTTGACCCTACCTCCACTCCCTCTGCTCCACCATCTCCCTGCCCCCACCCCTACTTAAATCTGTCCTCAGTATTTCTTTCTGCTTATCCATGTGTTCCATTGCCCTCTCTATTGTGCTTCCTGAAAGCCCTATTCCTGACCCTCATGGGCCTCTTTCTGGTTTCCTCAATCTATACACATTTATTCCTACAAAAATATACATATATAAAAATTAAAAGCTAGGATCCACATATGAAAAAAAACTTATGCCTTATAACATTTGTCTTTCTGGATCTTGGCCACTTCACTCAATATATTTTCTAACTTCACCACAGTTTAGTTATTCATTCATTAGTTGATGGCATCTAGGCTGCTTTCATTTCCTGGATGTTGTGATCCTGGATGCAGCAATCGTCATGAATCTGGAAGTATCTCAGTAGTAATCTATGGGGTTTTTGAAATATATACCTGGGAGTGGTATAACTGGGTCCTATGTGTTTGAGGAGCCTTCATACTGATTTCCATTGCCATGGTATCAGTTTATACTCCCATGAATAGTTTCTTTCACCCTATAACCTTGCCAGCATTTTTTGTCATTTGTTTTCTTTTTTTTAGTTAAGTTTTTTTTATGTATATGAATGTTTTGATTGTATGTATATATGTACACTATGTTTGTGCCTAGTGCCTGCAGAGGTCAAAGGGCATTAGATTCCCTGAACTGGAGTTACAGATAAATGGCTATGAGTCACCAAGTAGGTGCTGGGAACTAAACCTGGATCTTCTGCAAGAACAAACAATCTTAACCACTGACCCATCTATCCAGGCCTGTTACTTGTTTACTGACTGGGTTCTGAGATCTAGGGATGAAATTCAAGGCCTTGTACTTAAAACGCAAGTACCTTGTAAACTGAGCTATCTCTTCATCCCAGGTTAATCAGAATTTCATTTCTTTCTGTTTCTTTTATTGGAAGAAATAAATTTTGAACAGTCATGCTTGCAAATATCCACAAGACCCAGGGTAAAACACTAACAGTGAGCTCTAGAGGCAGTTTCTTTTGCTTCCCATCATACTTTCTACGCATTGACTCCATTCCTTCCTGCTCTTCCAGTTTTTCTAATTTCTAGGTTGTTCATTATCTTGGTTCCTATCCCTGAAAAGATTAGTTTGTGAAACGTTCCCTCAGAAAAATGCAATGAAGAGAACTGAACACATTATTCTATGTTAAAGGTAACCAAAGAATGATTTGTTTCCTGTAGTCTGAATTCCATACTTTGTCTGTGGCAAATTAACTTTATATTAGTGCCTCTAATGGTTTATTGTTCAACTGAATTAAGTTAATCTTTTCCTGGTTCTATCTGTACGTAAGACTCGAGAAAATGAATTTTAAAATACTTTTTATACTTTTTATTTGGGAATTTTCAAGAGAAGGTCTTATTCTGTAGCCTAGTCTGGTTTGGCTTCCCACTTCCTGAGTGTTGGGATTGCAGATAGCTATCATAACATTTAGCTTCTTTATATACTTTTCAAAGTTTATGCTATGCATGTATACTACTTATATTTAAATTTTACTTTTTTTTTGTTTTCTGTAGGTCCATTTTGATTTGGGTTTTTTTGTTTGTTTGTTTGTTTTTTGAGACAAAGTCTCTCTGTGTAACAGCTCTGGCTGTCCTGGAACTCACTTTGTAGACCAGGCTGGCTTTGACTCACAGAGATCGACCTGCCTCTGCCTTCTGAGTGTTGGGATTAAAGGCCTGCATCACCACCTCCTGGTTTATAGGTTCATTTTGTAATAGATTGTTAATATTGAATTCAGCATATTTCTGTGTTAGCAGTTCATTGGAAGTCAATAACAAAATATACTCTTTGTAAAAGTATCTTTTTTCTTTCTTTTTTCAATTTAATTATTTAATTTAAATTTAATTAATTAATTTTGGTTTTTTGAGGCAGAGTTCTTTGGCTGTCTTTGGAACTCATTCTGTAGAAAAGACTGTCCTCAAACTCAGAAACCTACCTACCTTTGCCTCACAAGGGCTGGGACTAAAAATAAAAATGTAAGACAACACCAGCTAGCCCAACAATATTTTATTACTTGGAGTATAGTCTCCCAGTCAGACAGGAAATGAAAAAGCAATAATGTTAATGTTACTTTCTTTTTCCTTCATCTATATTTTAAGATTTAAAGTTTTTATATGCATTTAGAGTATTTTGTTGATATCTCATCAAGTTTTTCTCTATTAAATTTTGTATTTTATAACACTTTGAAATATAAGTAAGATAGAATATTCTAGTTTATATACAACCTCTTAAAATAGGTTTTTCACAAAGATCCGCCTGCCTCTGCCTCCCGAGTGCTGGGATTAAAGGCATGTGTGACCACCACCCAGCCTGCTCTATAAGAGCTAGTTCCAGGAGAGGCTCCAAAGCTACAGAGAAACCCTGTCTCAAAAAAAATAGGTTTTTCAAAGATCTTGAATTGATTACATATAAAAATATATTGCTTTACTAGTCACATATAATTTTATATTCAGGTATATTTATGCTTTGTGCATTTACATTACTTTTGAACCAATCTTTAGCTAATAGTAGAACTTTTGCACAAATTTCTTAAGTATTTAAGAAATTAGATAAATTAGTCATGAAAACTTGCTACTATAGCTTTTTTAAAAGTTGTATTTGTTTTTACTTTAAGCTGTAAATGTTCCACATGTGTACCTGGTGCCTAAGGAGGCCAGAAAAGGGTGACAGATCCTCTGGAACTGGAGTTTATGAACCTGAGTCCTCTGGAAATGCAGCCAGGTCTCTTAACCACTGAGACATCTCTTCAATCCCTCCTATACCTTTTTTCATCTTTCTTTTTATAAATTTTCTTTTCACCATAAAATCCCCTTTTTTTAAGGACATTGATAGATTTTATTTTGCTTTTTGTTTTTCTTGTTTTTTGAGACAGCCCTGGCTGTCTCTATGTAACAGCCCTGGCTGTCCTGGAACTCACTCTGTAGACTAGGCTGACCTTGAACTCTCAAGAGACCCACCTGACTCTGCCTCCTGAGTGCTAGGATTAAGGCATGCACCACCACCACTTTGCTCACATTGATAGATTTTTTTTTTCTTTTGGTTTTTAGAGACAGGGTTTCTGTAGTTTTGGAGCCTGTCCTGGAACTAGCTCTCCTAGACCAGGCTGGCCTCGAACTCACAGAGATCTGCCTTCCTCTGCCTCCTGAGTGCTGGGATTAGAGGCATGTGCCACCTCTGCCCAGCCTCATTGATAGATTTTTATCTTGGCAATATCACTGCTGCTTTCCTGGTGTAGCAGTCAAACATTACAGTGTTTCTGAATACACATTAGTCACTCTGCTATATCAGTTGGAGCACTGAAATCTCATAGCATAGCATTGGTATTCATCATTTCTTGATATTTAAACTTCAGGGCCATCTTATTTGCCACTTCTAAGGAATTTGTTAGAGTCTAAAGTGTCTTTACTTATGTCAAAAAATATAGTTTGCTTCATTTTACATCATGATATTTGGGAGTTTTTTTGGTGAAAGTACACTCCCCAAGAGTCCCTTGGATATACACAAGAAAATGCTGCTCACATGATTTCATTTGTAATTCAAAAATCTTAAAATATGTGTGGGTATATAAGCCATATGTGAATGCAGGTGCCTCAAAAGTTCAGAAGAAGACATTGCATCCCTTGAAGCTGGAGTTACAGGCAGTTGTGAATTGCCTGATGTGGATGCTGGGAACTAAATCCATATCTTCTGCAAGTGTGGTAGATATTCTCAACCACTAATCCATCTCTCCAGCTCCTAATGTAGCAACTTTGCCACCAGAAAGTGCAAGTCCTAACTGTCAATCAAAATTTTTTATTAGTATGGAAGAATTATCAACAGATTCTTCTAACATGGTCTACTTGATTTCATCTTCCTTTCCTTTCAATCTTTGCATGGTTATTTATTGAAGAAATGTATTCAATTATTCAATTGATCCAGTTGTTGAGATACTTCTTTATCAGATACATTTTTTTTTTATCAACTAAAGCTTTGAAAATTTGGCTAACATTTTCTAGAGTATGAACATATACATACATTCTATTAAATCCCAAACTGATAATCTCTATAGAGAATACCCTGACTAGAAATATTGTTAATTACTTTATGAAGAAAGCTGTCTGTCAGCTTGTAGAGCTGCTGTGTGAATCTGGGGCTTTAGTGACATGACAGGTCCCCAAATGTCATGCCTCATCTAAATGATTCTTCTGTGTTTCAGTGTTGCTAATCTGCCCAGGAAAATAATTTGTCAGCTAGGGTATAATGGCACATGCCTGTAATCCCAGTACTTAAAGGTAGAAACCAGCCTGTGGTATGTAGTGAGACTCTGTTTTAAAACTAAAATATGTTTATTTCTTTCAACTTTAGTTTTTCTTTTCATTGTTTGAGATATGTTCTGTCTTGCTATACAGACACATGAGCACTGGGTTCTAGGATGCTGTTGAGCAACTTGGAGAGCATCTGAGCCTTTTCAGGTTTAACTGTGTAGAGCAGAGCAACTCTGAATGTAGGAGGTTTTCCTTACTCCTAAGATAGGACCCTTCTAAGCACTCTGCCCCCTGCCTCCTAAAAGATGTCTTTCTACCTTGGCAGGGTATTATAGGGGGAAACAGCTGCTGGTCCCATCCTGCTTCTCAGGGCCAAGTAGTTACCATCATCCTTGTAAGGGGCAGTTCCTTTTTCTTGGGCCTCAGGTCCTTTCCTCACATACTTGTGTTCCTCTGTGCTTTGTGGAGTACTCAAGTGGGACCCACTGGATATATCTAGGGTTCTGTCTCTTTGGAAATGTTCTCTGCCTGAAAGTCACCAGACTTAATGATCCACTTAGGTTCTGGGTAGTCCACCTGGCTTGACTTTAGTGTACTCTTACTCAGATTTAGTTGTATAAAATGTATTTGTGTGTGTGTGTGTGTGTTTAATTTTATGTTTGTGGGTATTTTGCCTGCATATATAGGTGTGTGTGTGTGTGTGTGTGTGTGTGTGTGTGTGTGTGTGTGCCTGGTACCCATCAAGCTAGAAAAAGGTGTTGAATCTCCTGGAACTGAACTTACAGATGGTTATAAACTGCCATATGGATGCTTGGAATTGAACCTGGATTCTCTAGGAAAGCAGCCAGTGCTCTAAACCACTAAACCATTTCTCCAACCCTTACATAGAATTGGAGACAAATCTTTGCTGACTGTACTTCAGACAGGCAGTAAATATCTGGAATGTATACAGAATTGCAAAAATTAAACACCAGAAAACGCTGCCAATCAATATATGCACAATGAAATTAGTAGACAGTGCATTGTTTTTAAAATTAAATGACTTTATTCCAATTAACTCCCAAATAAAAACAGCTAGTTTGACCTAGCCATTCAGACAATTTCCCAGTCCCAAACTCTATACATCTTAATATAGTTAGAATGGCCATTCTGAAGCAGTAATGCTTAAGTTTTTTTTTAACTTTCATTATCAATTATATGGGTGTTTTGCCTGCATGTTTGTCTACGCACTATGTGCATGCAATGCCTTGGAGACCAGAAGAGAGTATCAAAATCCCTGGTGCTGGAGTTAAAAATAGCTGTGAGCAACTATGTGGGTGCTGGGAATTGAGCCCAGATCTTCTGGAAGAGCAGCCAGTGCTCTTAACCTCATTAATCCCTCAATTAATTTTAATTCACTTATCTATACAAAAAGAAGAAACTATAACAGAGTTGAAACTAGGAAAAAATAGCATTAAATTCTTCATGATTCATGTTCTCAAGAAGAAACCTCTGACCACCTGGCATGCACATGATACACATAATACATGCAAGTAAAACACAATGATAAAATAAAAAAAATCTTTTTAGAAGAAGCATGAACATCCAATAAATATTTTAAAAGTATTTAACATCCAGCCATCAAGGACATGCAAATCAAAATTATGTTGTGATCCTATTTCATTTCAGTCAAAATGGCAATCATTTGGTTCTGTTTTAATATAGGTAGTTTTTTAGGAAAACTAAGCATCATTTTACAGGACATGGGAAACTGAACTGTGAACTTTGGCCTACAGCCACTTTACTTTGTTCTTTTTAATATTTGACAGCCTACTATAGACATAAATTTTAAAAATTATTATGGCTTAAAGTCAGAGCACTTGCCTCGTATGTCTGTTCCATCCTACAATGTACACATATCAGTATATATGGTTCTCAACTTGTGGGTCATGACTGCTTTGGTGAACCTCTATTTCAAGAAAATATTAACATTATGATTCATAATAGAAAGGAAATTAGTGATGAAGTAGGAACGAAAATTATTTTATGTTTGGGGGGTCATCACAACATGAGGAACTGTGTTAAAGGATAACCATAGCATTAGGAAAGTTATAAACCACTGGACATAAATGTACACACACATTTATTTCTTAAATATTTTTTACTGGAAGTAGAAGTAGAAGAATATTCTAAAATTGAAAATATAAATGAATTTTGAAGATTTAAACAAGCTTTTTTGCAGAGAATGTAAAGATTTGAGTGAATTAACATTTGCACAATTGGGATAAAACAATAATAGAAATATGAGTTATATTTAAAAATGACTTTAAGTGAATAACATTGGAATTCAGAGCATCAGTCTTATTTCACCCTTAATTATGTATTTTAAGCCTTTATTATAAGCATCAAGGGTTTTTCTTATTTTGAAAATACCTTGACAAACATACAGGTTGGCTGAACTAACAGGTCGTCCCATGAGAGTTGTTGGCTGGTATCATTCTCACCCTCACATAACCGTTTGGCCTTCCCATGTTGGTAAGTGTTATAAGGTCGCAGTGTTTGTTTATTTTTCTCAAATGAATATCATTTTTCCTCCATTACATAGTATGGTCATCAAAAGGGAAACTTAGAAGGCATTACTTCTAAGAAATACTTTTGTCATTTCCAAAGCCTATCTTGTAGTCTAGAGGAAATTATGAAGTTTTAGGGATAGCTAATTTTTTTCTGTGCTACATTTTGTAGTAGGGCCACTTAGGCTAAGCAGCCTAGAGTTACTATTTAATAGCAAACTTTTCATAATATTTCTCCAACTTGGCAAAATATGCTCTGACATTTATATATCATTACAATATATCTCTATTTTGCCTGCAGAATATGAGTATTGATAAGGTCACTATTAATTAGTCTTTACTATTATCTCTAACTAAAATCTGTTAAGTATAGGTTATTAACAGAATATTTTTATTTATATTTCAGATGTTCGTACACAAGCCATGTACCAAATGATGGATCAAGGCTTTGTAGGACTTATTTTTTCCTGTTTCATAGAAGACAAAAACACAAAGGTATTTTATGTATAAGTGTATGTGTACATACACATGTGTGTGTATGTTTATACACAGAGTAGATACAGATAGAGAAAAATCTCTTTTCATTTTTAATAGGTTGGTCAGGGAAGTTTTCAGTGGGAAGGGTTATCAAGTCAAGATTAGAAGTATATAAGGGAGCAAGTCTTGAGTATTTCTTGGGTCAAGATCATCCCTGACAGAAGAAATAGCAAGTGCAAGCATCCTAAGGTGAGTGTGGCGTTTTCAGAGAACATTGAGGAAGCTGGTGTGACTATAGTAGAGAGGGGAAGATGATGACAATGTATTCCAATTTGCCTCAGTCTCAATTTTTATACTTATATTACAATGCTCTATTTCACTAGCCTTTTTTATCTCTTGAAAGTATTCTGGTTTGGTCATCCTTAAAGAGGACCAAAATGTAATGGGAACTAGTTCTTGAAAGACCTTTCCTTTGCCTCTGAGTTGGGAAACCATTACAGGGTGACTTTATATCTTAATAGAATTACTCTAGGTATTATATTGCTAGTGGACTGGACAGGATTGGAGTGAGAAGGGTAAAATTAATGGCATCAGAGAAACCAGTTAGGAAGATATTGCCAGTAATCTAGGCAAAAGATAATAAAGCTTTGATCATGGTGTGTAGAAGATAAGTGTACTAATAATGAATATTTTCCATGACTTCACTATCTTTCAGAAACATTAGAATTCAATAACTGGAACTTTATAATTGTTTTGAAATGCTTTTGGTTTTTTTTCACAATTTAATTTGCATATTGTCCTCATAAATAATAAATGAGGTTAGTCACTTTCCTGGTTCTCGTATTTGTTAGTAATTGTTTTATGAGAAGATGTTTGGCTGTGATTTATATTAATTGTGTATGTGATCCTTCTCACAGAAATTGATTAATTATGGCATTTTCTATAATCTTGGGAATCTCTTTTAGTCTCATATGTCCATAAAAGCCTTTGAACTTTAAGTTAGAGTCTACTAAATTGCTATGAAATTTCCAACTCAAAAATGATTAATGGTACATGGTGGTGGTGTCTCATGCCTTTAATCCCAGCACTCAGGACACAGAGGCAGGTGGCTGCTCTCTGTGAGTTCAGGCCAGCCTAGTTTATAGATCAAACTCCAGGACAGCCTAGGCTACACCTCTTTGTCTTAAAAAACAAACAAAATGATTAATAGTTGAAGATAGAAATGCTCGTTATATTGAGTCGGTTATTATACATTGTATATGTATATTGACTACTATAATGTACTCGGTAAAAATATCCAGATATTTTGGCTCAAGAAAAAAAATAACAAAAATAAATTCCTTTGTGTATGACATTTCATTTCTATTTTTTAAAATAGACTGGTCGGGTACTCTACACTTGCTTCCAATCCATACAAGCCCAAAAAAGCTCAGAGTAAGTATGACAGAGATGTTATTATTTATGAACTCCTAGTCATGAAATTGATTGTTCTGTTTCATTTAATTTTTCTCATTAGTAAGGCACTAATAGTACTATATTTCTACTCTTACCCACTAACAGTCCTAAAAAGATTAGAATTTCTTTAGCAGTTTGTGTATTATGAAAGTCTAGGAAGCTGAAGTCAGACACATAATCTCTTTGTTATAGTTATATCACCATAATCTTGGTCCACATTTTCCAAATTGTGTTGTACTGCTGGTTTCTCTTTCTCTGGTGTGTTCTAAAGCAAAGACCAAATGTGAAAAAATTTAGATATTTTTATAGATAATTCTCTGTTGCTACAGAAACTTTTTCAGTGTTGCTAAGATTGAACCCAGGGTCCCATAAATACTAAGCAAACATTTACCATGGAGATGTAAGTCCTACTTTTCTGCCATAAAAGTCATTTAGAATTATAGTCTTTCATTCAAATGTTTGTATAGATTAATATTCTCATTAAAGCATGGTAGTCAGAGGCTGGAGAGATGGCTCAGTGGTTAAGAGCACTAACTACTTTTCCAGAGGACCTGGGTTCAATTTCCAGCTCCTACATGGCAGCTTGCAGCTGTCTTTAGCTCCAGTTCCAGTGGATCTGACACCTTCACACAGACATACATGCAGGCAAAATACCAGTGCACTAAGAAAAGCAAACAAACAAACAAAAAAACCATACTAATCTATTGCTAGGCATGGTGGTATGTGCTTTTAATTCCACCCAGTACAGAGGAGCAGAGGCAGGTGGATCTCTGTGATTTCCAGGCCAACTAGGATTACATAATAAGAGCCTATCTTAAAAAACAAAAACAAAAAACCAAAGCGAAATCAAAACAAACAACCAAAACTCTGTCTACCTTTTTTGTTGTTGTTGTTGTCACAAATAAAGATGATGGTCACTGATACCATCCCACTTCCATTCTCCAAAATGTAGTTACTATGTTTTCATTTTTTCGGGTTACTTTTCTAATCTTTAATAAAGTTCAGTTTTTTTTATTTTTGTGTTTTGAGACAGGGTCTTATGTCCTCCAGTCTGAGCTCATGATCCTCCTCCTTGTGCCTTCTCTGTGTTGAGCTTTCCAGACATGGGCTACCACACCCACCTAAAGTTTGCCTTTTTATTTTATTAACAGTTGACATTAGACAATATTGATTTGGCTCTCCATGATTACTAAATTTTCATAGTTACAAGCATCTCTGCTCAAGATTATAAACATAATTTCGTTGCATATGTTTTGTGTATTAATTAAATTGTAATAGAAAATAAATTTTATCATGGTGATTAGGTAAATGTTATTCCCTCTTCAACTAACTAATATGAACTAATGTACTATTAATGATGATTTTTTGCATAGATTTTGTTTTGTTTTCTTTTTATTTGCTTTTTGTTTTTACATAATGTTTTTCAGTTGATTTCTTTTTCCTTCATTTTTATCACTTCCTTAAGTTCTAAACTCTTAGGGATAATGTAAAAACACTGGAATTCCCACATTTTAAGGATTACTCCATGAAACCATCCTAACCTGATCTGACATCCCACTTTGGCTTGCTTAACTGATATCCAGGGTGGTGGGGGACTGGTTTCTTTATTTATTCTCCTGAGTGTTATTTATTATAGGGTTCTTGATTTATTGTCATTTTGCTGGAGAGATCCTCTAGTAAGTTCCTAAGAATGGTGAGACTTTTTTTCTGAGTCCTACTTCTCTGAAATGTTTTATTCTTAATAATAGTTATGAGAATTGAGGCATAAGTCCTAAACTCAAGGTTAGCATTCTTTTTAACTTATCTAACACATTCCTGTCTTATGGACTTGACATCCTAGCAGAAGCAGGTCCATTATCAGCTTCTCTCACAACTTTCTCTCTCTTAGTAGGACACATGTCAAATTCTTTTCCCCCATCCCTTTATATTTGCTCCCTTTCTCTTTAGAGAACTAGAAATAGAAGAGAACTTTTACAACATTTATAGATATTTATTAAAACTGTAAATTAGATGTTATATACATTGTTAACAAATAAAAGTTTGCCACATAACAACAGAAATAATATAAACAATTGGCACTGTTACTCAACATTGAACTGGTAGTTATGGCCAAAGCAATAGGTTCAACATCAAAATTAGACAAAGTTTCTGGGTTCATGTTCAAAACACAAAATCAGTTGTTTGTATATATCAGCATTTTACAAAAGAAATATGGGAAAATAATTTCATTTAAAATAGCATTAAGTTTAGTAAAAGATGTAAGAGAAAATTTAACCAAGGCAAGAAGAAATTTGATGCATTAGAACTAAAAGTACTAAAAGAAATAAAAGAATTTACACATACATATTTATATGTATATGTATGTGATTGAGTTTGCTTCTTTATTTCAGTGATAAAACAAGCTAAATGGTGATGAAATGGTTTGTTTCACCTTGTATCTTATGGTTTACTATTAAAGGAAGGTATTGCAGGAATTTAAGATAAGAACCTAGAGCAGAAACTGATGCAGAGGTCATGAAGGAGTGTGACTTACTGGCTTGCTCAGCCTGCTTTCTTATAATACCCAGGACCACCTGTCCAGGGGTGGTACCATCTACAGTGGGCTGGGCCATCCCATATCAATCATTAATCAATAAATTGCTTTCACTGATATTCCCACAGGCTAATTTGATGAATGTAATTTTTTGATTAAGGTTTTCTCTTTTCAGGTTCCTTTAGTTTGTGTCAAGTTAACAAAAACTAACACAGTGATATATAGAATACTTGATATTCTTAAATGATAATAGTCCCTAAAGATATCTAGAGTCAATGAAATACTCATATATTCCAAAGGTCCTTTTTGTTACATATATGGAAAAGATAATTATAAAATCTAAGATGTATGGAATAACCAATATTGATAAAAAGAAGACAAAATCAGATAAATAAGTTTCTAAAACTTACTATAAAGCTTGCGTAGTGTGAAACTAAAATCAATATACTCAGAATGAACTGAGTGATTCAAAATTAAACCAAATCAACCTTCAGCAAGGGTGCCAATGTCATTGAATGAGAAACGAATGATTTCTTCTGAGTGGTGCTTTGACAATTATATATACGTAACAGTAAAGTTGGACCCCCCACCTCACAACATATATAGAAATTAACTACAGATAAACTAGTGAACTAAATAAGTAATCTAAAACCATGAATACTTAGAAAACATAGGTTAAATCTGATGACATTTGAGCTTTGCAGTATGACAAGTTTTCATAGATGTGACAGCAAAACATGAATAACAGAATAGATACATTTGTAAAACATAAAACTTGTTTATGAAAAGATATTAAGAAAGTGAAAAGGCAGCTCATAAGATTGAAAATATTTGCTAATTTTATAACTAATAAAGGTAAATTATCTGGAATATTAGGAAAAAAATTTAATGTTAGACATGATAGTTCATTCCTGTAATCCTAACACTTAGGAGGCTGATTCTGGAGGATTGCAGTGAGTTAGAAGAAAATCTCAGTTGCATAATGAGTTATGGTTCAGGTAGACCACACCATGTCATAATTGCCAAACTTTATCTCAAACAAGTCTTAATATTGGATTTGGTGGTAAATCACTACAATCTACCAGTATTTGTTAGGTGGAGGCAGGAGAATCAGAAGTTTAAGATTACCTTGGCTGCTAAGCAAGTTCAGTGACAACCTGGGGTACATGGGATCCTGTCTCAAAACGTCAAAAACACTAAAGACAAATTATCAATAAAAAGATGAGTGAGCCAGACATGGTGGTGCACATCTTTGATCCTAGCACCCAGACAACAGAGTTAGGTAGATCTCTGTATGTTCAAGGCCAGTGTGGACTATATACTGAGTTCTAGGCCAGACAGGGCTACACAGTGGGACTGTCTTAGTAAAGAAATGAGAAACAGGAATCACCAATGTAATAATATAATAATGAAATTGTTGACATGTCTATATATTTATAGATAGTTTAAAAAAGCAGTAATAAGGGACTAGGGAGATGCCACCATAGCAAACTAGATAATACTCCTATCCAGAGAATAGAAGACCAAGATTACCAAGAATGTCATGGACTAAAACTGGCCAGTGGTATCAGATGTGGCTCTGATCAGTGATCCCATCACAGACAAGTCATCAGCAGTACTTTTGAATATAAATTGTTAGACTCTCCAAGTATTTCTGGCTTAAGTCACTTTTTGAACATACACTGTTTCGTAAATATCCTAAAGAAAATTAATATAGTCAGTTTCTCAGTGAACATGATAGAAATCAAAATGTCTTTTCTTAGCAGAGAATGCACCGATTACTATTTTAATGTTTTCAGTGGACAACGAGAAGGAACCCTGGACAGGTTTGCTAGTTTTTCCTATGCCCCCTGCTTGATTCTCGTTGTAAAGATAGAGAGAGGTGAATGCAGTTAATTCAAAACATGGGAAGAATGTGATGAATGACACCTGGAAACTCTTCCAATCCGAAAAAGCTACAGGGGATCCCAAACATCCCTTTAACAAATTTTGAATAGTTAACAATATATTGTAGAAACTTGACTCAATTAAGAAGATGTTGACATAAGACCAAAAAATACTGAAATTCCATTCTACTTATTCATCCAATCTGATGGCTATTTCTGTTTTAGGTCAATAGAAGAACTCTTCAAATATTTCATAGAAAATTGTTAGGTTTTTCCCATTTTGAACTTTTTATAAGGTATTAGAAAGATATAAGGTAGAAGTATTTGTCTGCTCATAGTCTTTTGAAAGTGATCTGCAGATGAGTTTCAATTTTAACTGGGCTATGTTCCAACAAGAAGTTTAGATGGTTCTAAGTGAAGAACTGAAGAACATATGAATTACTGGTAGGTTTTCTAAGCATATCAAGGGAATGGTGCATGGTAGAAGACTGGTAGGTTTGACCATATAGCAATTCAAAAGTCTGTAAACAAAATGAAAATATGGATGAAGATAGATGACA